AACATAATATTTTTCGTTGGTTTCTTGCCACCAAGGGCGAGGAGGCTCCGCACACGCTTCCAGTCTTCTCTCGGCAGAGAGCCATCAATGACCATGCAGATGCCCTCGCCTTGCCGAGCGAGGAAGGAGAAGTAATCCAGTTCAGCGCGGAACCTCTGCAGAGAGGAGGTGGAGGAGAGGAAGGAGGCAATAGAGAGAGCAAGCTCTTCACGAGGAATCTTCTTTCAGGTGTAATCTTGGGCTGCCGTGAGCAATGAGCGCCACGGCTCCTTCAAGCCGTGGCTTAAATCTGAAACCTCGCTGCATATACAGGTCCCGCTCTCATGCATGTTTCCCGCGCGGATGCGCTGGGCAATGGGGGGGGGGGGGGGCAGGTGGCGTGCCCTACTGTCTATGCCACGCGTGCGCGCACAATAAAGCTCCGCTTTGAGTTCCGCACGAATACGCACGAGCATGACCAACCGTTCGGGGAGGTAGGGGCGACAGGTGCGCACACGGTGCCTAGCAAAGCAATGGTTGGCCTGTTCGTTGATAAACGTGGTGGCCTGCTGCAGCCGAGTGTTTCCATTGAATTTCCACTCCTCAAGCACGTGCCCTTCGCACCTGAAACGAAAACCCCTCCCCCTGACAGGGTCCTCTAGTTTTTCCCGATGTAAGGGGGGCGGCTACCTTTGGGCTGGAGGGCCGAAACAATCCATTCGAGAGTGCCAAAAAACTGGGAAGTGGTCCTCGTGGTCCCTTGGGACCTCCAATCCATGATCAACCGTGGTGCCACTTAGGTATCCTGCGAGGTTCCTGTCAAGGAGAATGTAGGTCGATCCTTGTAGGTCCTTGATATTTGGATGCTAAGGTGCCGCCTTCTCCCGCGCATTGAAACGCATTGGCAACAACCAGATTCTGGCCTGAAAGAAGTTGATGCATGCACTCCCCGCTTGCGTCTTCTTCTTCGACGAGGGCAGCCTGCCCAACACTCTCTGAGGGCACTGACCCCAGCGACGCATTGCCGTCAATGGGCGTGATCCCGAAGGGCCATTGATCACGGAGACGGCCGAGTTCTTCCCAAAACTGCACGCCCCCTGGGAGGGGTGCCTTCGGTGGGGGGGCGTGAGCCACACAGCTGTTACATGAGAGGCCAGGGGCACTGCAGCGAACGATGAGCACACGGGGCACGGCACGCACAACTCTAAAGCGTTCAGCCCTGAAGAAAACGGATTTCCCCTTGACGGCGCCGCAAGGGACGCAAAGGCCCACCCAGAGCTCAGTGCCGAGATTGCGCTGGAGATGCCCCGGGGGGAACCTGGGGCGGGCCCCTCCCGAGACCCTTTTTTTCAGCTGTTTCTCGCCACGGCCTTCCTGAATCCCCACCAGAGCCACTCCCGCCTGATGGAACTGTTCCTTGACAAGGTTAAGCCGATGAAACCTGATGGCGCCCTTCGCGCCTCGCCGACGCTCTTCGCGAGCAGACTGCGGATTGCATGTTGCGACCTTCAACTGCGCATGAACAGAGATCTCGTTCAGAGGTGGTTGGGTGTCGAGCTGCTGCGCGCGCTGGTCCTTGGCCCAAAAAAAAATCGGGCGTGGGTGCCGCCACGGTGGCTTGCACATTGACAACATTGAATCGCGGGTAGGCATGCGCGCCCGAGCCCTGGAGTTAAAGCCAATCCCACTTACGAGCAACCTGATGCTGGGCCGCCTGCGCCAACTTACTATCGGGGGGGGGGGCTGAGTTCCCCAAGAGCAGTGGCCTTGGCCACGTTGTCGGCAAGAACGTCCCAGGCATGACCAGCGTGGGCCTTGATGTGATCGATCCCCAACTTAACTTGTGATCGGGCGTACCTGCACACAGACTCAAGGAGCATGGCTAGCTGATGGTCGCATGCAGGCCTGCCGCGCCCCTGCGCAGCACCTCAAGTAAGGAGAGAGTCGGTGTGGATCATGATCACACACTTGGGTTGCACTTGCACAAGCCAAAACAGGCACCATATAATAGCATGGCATTCGGCGGTGGTGCCTGTGCTCCCTGCTGGCACAATCTCCTTGGCAGCGGCGTGCTGAAATTCCCCCCTTAAGATCCCCTTGTAAGGATAATCCCCTTTTCATCCTTAGCTGCAATAGCTATTGCCCATGCCCCCCCCCCCCCTGTGTGTAGAGGGAGCCGTCAGTGTACAGGTGGAGGCTGTGTGTATCGCACTCGCGGTGCGGGCAGGTGTCCAGGGCGAGCTTGGCCTCTGGCTCGAGAAGGCCCGGGTCGTCGAGCTCCTGCCAGTGGAACAGTTCTAGCTCCTGCGGGCATGCTTCCTGAAGGACTGACCGAAGTGTCGGTGGAGCAGGGAAGCTGCGCTTGACCATGTCATGCGTGCTCTGCTGTACCTCGTCCTGCTGGATAGAGCCTTGGGCGTTGCCAAGACTTGACATATCCAGGGCGTCGCGGCCGATGGATGTGACCCCGGAGGGAACCTGGACATCGCTATTACCCCTTGATGTCGGAGTGGTGGAGGCATGCATGGGCTGAGCACCTGCGTGCGTCGGCACTGGGTCTTGCGCCTCTGAGCTTCTTTCCTGCTCGGAGGCACCTGGCCCCCCACCACGTCCTTGAATTGGGCTCTGGGCGTTGGGGGCAGCTGGCAACGCGGATTGCCCTGCGGCCTGCTTTCCCAGCAGCCTTCTCAAAGCTGATTTGACTGGCTGGTCACTCTGCGTCGCCTTGGCAAAAGACGCCTCACGCTGGAGCCGCGCATCAAGCTGGCGCGCAGAGATCATTTCAGAGGCTGCAAACTATACTTTTTTTGACAGAGCGGGCGGCCTGCCTACCTACTGCTTGATGACCCACTGCAGGAGGAAGCAGATCGCCCGAAACAGTCCCTGGAGATGTGGATGTCCCCGCCTCTGGAGACCCCCCGCATGGGGGCGACGGAAGAGGGGGATCGGCGGCCGCTCGATCGCGCTGGCGATGAGAAGAGTCGCCTTCACGTAGCCGTCGTCCGTGACCTGCCATGGTCCATGTAGGTCGAGCGCTGGTCGACTCTATAGTTGGGCAGGCGCGGGATCGTCCAGGTACTCCTCGTCGTAGCCACCTAGCCTCTGCTGCTTCCTCGGAGGTGTCCTCGACTGTTCCCGCGGCTGTTCTGTGATTGATGGCGGGCCTGGGATGTCCTCCGATGGCTGTGACCGCCGCATCGGTTGCGTCGGTGATAGGGCCTCCCAACATTCGACTTGAGTGCCAGGTACCTGTCCTCCCCACATCTGTGTTGGCGTGGGTGTGGCAGGAGCTGGCATCGCTGAGGCTGGCGTAGACGGTGGAGGCTCGCTCGGTGATCTCACCGGCGGTGGCGGCGAGCTCTCCACCTCGATGGCTGCGGGAAAAACTGGAGCCGATGCACGCGGGGTTGGCGTCAGCTGCGACGCCTGGGAAGCCTGCGGAGTGGGGTGTGACTGCAAGGCAGCGGCCGCTTGTGACGGCGTGGCCGTTGCACTCTGAGGAACTGCCTTCTTCCTGTCTGGATTGCCGAGCTTTGTCATGAGCGCGGAGGAGATGCCTGCCAAAGCGCGCTCGAGATTCTGGTGCTGCTGCTGCATCGTCGCCATGTTCTGAGCCATCTGCAAAACGAAAGAGCTGTCGACCACAGGTGCAGTCGAAGATGGCAGCCCAGCAGATCCAGAACAATATGAGAACGGTGAGGGCGGCTGCGGCCCGAAAGGTCCCATTTGTCCTCCTGGAGAGACTGGGGGCGGGGGCCGGACGCTGAGGCGGGTCCCGAGGTGCTTGATGCATGTGGGCGTCTTTCAAGGCCTTTTCGTCCTCGATGCCTCTGTTGATGAAATCTATGTGCTCCTGAACCGTTTCGAGCTCGTCCTGCATGGCGTTCTGCTGGTGCATGAGGTCGTCGATCTTGATCGTGCTTGCCTCCAGCCTCTCCTCTAGCAGCTCCTTGCGTTTGGTGGCGTTCTGGAGCTGGAGAGCGAGAGGCTTGAGCAAGGAAACAGCGTACGTGAGCACTCCGATATTCGTCTTGACGTCCTGGTGGTCTGTGCCCGCCTGACCTGCCGCATAGGCCATGAGGCACAGACCGTTGATCTTGCCAACTTCGAGCGGGTCGTCGGCGCTGGGAGGGGTTGCCATTCGGAATGTTGTTCTGCTTGGGTGGGCGTGACCATGGGGATCTTTGAGAGAACTTTCTGAACAATGGACTTGTTGACCTGCATGTGCATCTGCTCTTTTCTCGACGCACTCTGGGATCTTCGTGGCTGCCTGTGCGCCGAGCTCGAGCGAGGTGCACCCTTGCCGTAGTCCCACGCCTTGCCCTTGCCCATGTCTCTGGACTTGCCCTTGCCTTTCTGAATAGGGTACCGACTGTTTTGTGGCCTCTCCATTCCACATAGACAGAAACGATGATAGCCTTTGACTGTTCTGAAGCAGCGGTCGCATGCCCATGTGGTCATATGACTGGGAATGAACGGGAGATGCAGGTATGTTAGCAGACTGCTATGGCTCTTTCAGGAGCTCACTGAAAAGAAAAGGAAGACTGGCGCTTTGCCCCTGTGTCGCGGGCCGAGCTCCACGCCTGTCGATGGGACTCTCTGCAGCAACTCGATAAATGCTTTACTTGGGCCAAAGATGGCTTGAGCCAAAATGGCTACGGACCTCCTCCTCCTCCTCCTCCTCCTCCTCCTCCTCCTCCTCCTCCTCCTCCTCCTCCTCCTCCTCCCCCTCCCTCCCCACCCTCCTCCTCCTCCTACTCCTCCTCCTCCTCCTCCTCCTCCTCCTGCCTCCTCCTCTCCTCCTCCTCCTCCTCCTCCTCCTCCTCCTCCTCCTCTCTCCTCCTCCTCCCTCCTCCTCCTCCTCCTCCTCCTCCTCCTCCTCCTCCTCCTCCTCCGCCTCCTCCTCCTCTCTCCTCCTCCTCCTCCTCCTCCTCCCCCCCCCGTCCGTCCTTCCCCCCCCCCCCTCCTTCCTTCCTCCCCCTTCCTTCCTCCTCCCCCGCCGCGATGCCCCACCCCCGCGCCCGCAGCAGGTCGTCGCCGTTGGTGAGCCGGGACTCCGCTCTGGCGCGGGGCCGATGCCTGCGGCCAAGGGGGCCCTCCTCCTGTTCCTCTTCCTCCTCCTCCTCTTCCTCTTTCATCTGCTCCTTCTCCTCCTCCTTCTCTTCCTTAGCCTCTTCCGTTTCCTTCTCCTCCTCACTCCTTCTTCTCCTCCACGTCCTCCTCCATGAAACCGCACCCTCGCGCGCGCGGAATGCGAGATTGCCGCGCGTCGGGCTGGGCTACGGGAAGATGGTGGAGAGGAGGATGAGGAGTACGGGTAGGAGTTTGGGGAGGCAGTGTCCTTCCCTACGCGTCGGTCGGAAGAAGTAGGTAATTACGCTACCGAGGATCCCCACATACTTAATTTATATCTTATGTGCTTGCTTAAGTTTATCATATATGCGCAATTCTGCGTTTTCAACCCTCGTCGCGAATGTTCCCCTCTGTGTCATCCAACGCCATATTGCTTGAACCTCCTCCCTCTTCCTAGCCTTCTATCCTCCATCGAGGACAGATTCGAGCCAGCCAGCGGCCGCGGTGAGGGACCACCCCCTGCGCACCCTCTATGGTGTCGAGAAAGTGCCACGCCTGCTATGCCCTGGACGACCGTCGTGCATGGCGGCCGCGGTGAGGGACCACCCTCTACGCAGCCTGTATGGTGTCGAGAAAATGCCGCGCCTGCCATGCCCTGGACGACCGTCTTGCATAGCGGCCGCGGTGAGGGACCACCCCGGTGAGAGACCACCCCCTGCGCACCCCCCCTGGAGTCGAGAAAGTGCCACGCCTGCTAAGCCCTGCGACATTGGCGCGTATAGAGACCGCGGTGAGAGACCACCCCCGTGCGCACCCCCTCTGGTGTCGAGAAAGTGCCACGCCTGCTAGGCCCTGCGACATTGGCGCGTATAGGGGCCGCGGTGAGGGACCACCCCCTTGCGCACCCCCTGCGGTGTCGAGAAAGTGCCACGCCTGCTAGGCCCTGCGACATTGGCGCGTATAGGGACCGCGGTGAGAGACCACCCCCTGCGCACCCCCTCTGGTGTCGAGGAAGTGCCACGCCTGCTAGGCCCTGCGACATTGGCGCGTATAGGGACCGCGGTGAGTGACCACCCCCTGCGCACCCCCGGTGTCGAGAAAGTGCCACGCCTGCTAGGCCCTGCGACATTGGCACGTATAGGGACCGCGGTGAGAGACCACCCCCTGCGCACCCCGTCCGGTGTCGAGAATGTGCCACGCCTGCTAGGCCCTGCGACATTGGCGCGTATAGAGACCGCGGTGAGAGACCACCCCCTGCGCACCCCCTCTGGTGTCGAGAAAGTGCCACGCCTGCTAGGCCCTGCGACATTGGCGCGTATAGGACCGCGGTGAGAGACCACCCCCTGCGCACCCCCTCCGGTGTCGAGAAAGTGCCACGCCTGCTAGGCCCTGCGACATTGGCGCGTATAGAGACCGCGGTGAGAGACCACCCCCTGCGCACCCCCTCTGGTGTCGAGAAAGTGCCACGCCTGCTAGGCCCTGCGACATTGGCGCGTATAGAGACCGCGGTGAGAGACCACCCCCTGCGCACCCCAGGCCCTGCGACATTGGCGCGTATGGGGACCGCGGTGAGAGACCACCCCCTGCGCACCCCCTCTGGTGTCGAGAAAGTGCCACGCCTGCTAGGCCCTGCGACATTGGCGCGTATAGAGCCCGCGGTGAGAGACCACCCCCTGCGCACCCCCTCTGGTGTCGAGAAGTGCCACGCCTGCTAGGCCCTGCGACATTGGCGCGTATAGGGACCGCGGTGAGAGACCACCCCCTGCGCACCCCCTCCGGTGTCGAGAAAGTGCCACGCCTGCTAGGCCCTGCGACATTGGCGCGTATAGAGACCGCGGTGAGAGACCACCCCCTGCGCACCCCCTCTGGTGTCGAGAAAGTGCCACGCCTGCTATGCCCTGGACATTGGCGCGTATAGGGACCGCGGTGAGAGACCACCCCCTGCGCACCCCCTCTGGTGTCGAGAAAGTGCCACGCCTGCTAGGCCCTGACGACTGGCGCATATAGAGACCGCGGTGAGAGACCACCCCCTGCGCACCCCCTCCGGTGTCGAGAAAGTGCCACGCCTGCTATGCCTGGACGACTGGGGCGTATAGAGACCGCGGTGAGAGACCACCCCCTGCGCACCCCCTGTGGTGTCGAGAAAGTGCCACGCCTGCTATGCCTGGCGACCGGGGCGTATAAGGACCGCGGTGAGGACAAGAGAAAGTGCCACGCCTGCTATTGCGCCTCGTTCTGAGAGACCACCCCCTGCGCACCCCCTCTGGTGTCGAGAGAGTCGACCACGACTTCACCCCCTGCGCACCCCCTCTGGTGTCGAGAAGTGCCACGCCCTGCCCTGCGACATTGGCGCGTATAGAGACCGCGGTGAGAGACCACCCCCTGCGCACCCCCTCCGGGGTCGAGAAAGTGCCACGCCTGCTAGGCCCTGCGACAGTGGCGCGTATAGAGACCGCGGTGAGAGACCACCCCCTGCGCACCCCCTCCGGTGTCGAGAAAGTGCCACGCCTGCTAGGCCCTGCGACATTGGCGCGTATAGGGACCGCGGTGAGAGACCACCCCCTGCGCACCCCCTCTGGTGTCGAGAAAGTGCCACGCCTGCCAGGCCCTGCGACATTGGCGCGTATAGAAACTGCGGTGAGAGACCACCCCCTGCGCACCCCCTCTGGTGTCGAGAAAGTGCCACGCCTGCCACGTTCTCCGACCCTGGCACGCATAGACGCCGCGGTGAGAGACCCCCCCCTGCGCACCCTCTCTGGTGTCGAGAAAGTGCCACTCCTGTGCTGTGCTGTGCCGAGCTGAGCTGTGCTGAGCAGCGCTGTGTTGTGCTGCGCTGTGTTGTGAAGTGTGCTCTGCGTGTCTCATGTGCGCGCCTGCCGTGCGTGCGTGCTGTGATGTGCGTGAGGTGAGAAAGAAGGAAAAGGAGAGGGAGGAGAAGGAGAAGGAGGAGACGCGGGTGAGACGCGGAAGGGAAGAAAACCAGAACCCCACGAAGCATGTGGGGAAAAACATGAAGTAGGAAGGCGGATGAAGTGGATTGGGTCCAGGCCCTCCCAGAGAATTCGCCGGCCCAACGAGCCAGAGGCGTGCTAAGATCTCCGGTAACTGGTTAACAATTCTCTAGTTTGCGCGCGCGGGGCGGCCCCTGGGGGTCCCCGGACGAAAGTACTCCAGGCGGGTCCCGGCTGATCCCCGGGCGACTCCACCAGAGCGCTCCATGAGCGCACCAACAGGGCTCCGAGACGTCCCCGAGAGCCCCAAGAAAGGCCAAGAGGCCCCCAAGAGGCCCCCAAGATGGTACACGAGGGGTCCGACATGCCACAAGATCGCTCCAAGACGCCCAAGATAGCCCCCAGACGCCCCAAGAGGCCTCCAAGAGCACTCCCAAGAAGGCCCCAGGAGGCAAAATTCATTGCTTTTCCTTAGGTTTTTGAGAGATTTTGGAGCCTCCACCTTTTCGGCTTCCCGACGCCCCAAGACGGCCCTAGAGGCCCCCAAGATCGCCCCAAGAAGGCCCAAGAGGCCCCCTAGAGGGCCCCAAGATGGCCCAAGAGGGCTCGAAGACGGCCCAAGAAGCCTCCAAGACGGTCCAAAAGGGCCCCAAGAACGCCCCCAGAGGGGCCCCAGAGAGGGAACACGAAACAACATTTCGAGCCCTCGGCCCTAAGAAGCCCCCACGAGGCCCCAAGAAGCCCCTAAGAGGCCCCAAGAGGCCCCCACGAGGCCCTCAGGAGGCCCCCAAGAGTCCCCCAAGCGGCCCCAGGAGACCCCCCAAATGCCCCCCCGAGCACGCAAGCAAGTGCAAGCGATGCTACAATGTGCTCTCCTTTCGGTAGACTCCCAACGGGGCCACTACAGACTTGCAACAAGCGTCAAGAACCTGCCCAAAAAGCACTTTCCAGGAGCGTTCACAAGTGCCGCGAAGAAGCCCTCCTTACGCCGGAAAGCCCGGAAAGCCGGGTGGGGTGAGCTGTTCTTCTTACCACCGCGCCCTCTCACACAATGGCTTCCGCACGCTGCCCAGAGCGCGACGTTCGGCTCATGCCCCCAGAACGCTCCAGGAGCGCGCCAAAACGGCACCGGAACGCCCCCGAAACAATCCAAGCGGCCTCAAGCGGCCGAACAATCGTTCCACATCGCCCAAGATGACCTCAAAATTGCCGTCGAGGCCGCCAAGAAGTCCCAAGAGAGCCTCAAGAGGCCCTCCAAGACGGCCATTACAATCAACATGATCGACCCACGAACCCGGAAAGGAATATAGAACTGTAACACATGGCAGCGTTTTCAAAGACACCTGATCGGGTGACGGGCAAATGCAATGCTGAGTGTATCGATCTTGATGTACCCTGCCAAGGGCTGTGCTGTGCTGCGCCGTGCTGAATTGCGATGTGCCATGGCGCGACTGCGCTCTATAGCGTCGTGGATCGAGTCCTCCTTTGCATCCGAGTCCTGACCGAACTGATCTGGATCTTAAGCTCGAGCTGCCTGAACACATAGTAGCTGCCCCAGAGCTAATTGACAAGGGGAACATGCCAGGAGGACGCGCCGCGAAACGTCCCAAGGGATGCGCCAGGCGACGTGCCAGGGGACGTGCCATGGGGTCGCAACGCGGGACGTGCCAAGGGGACGCGCTACTGAACGTGCTGGGGACAAGCGTTTCGCTCGAGACATCCTATCACAATCATCCGAATTCCTACGCGCGGGACGCGGCACGCGCGAGACATCCTCGGAATTCCTGCGAGCGGGACACGAAAACAAACATTGCGCCTGAGATATCCTCTGAATTCTGGCCCCCCACGAGGCCCCCGCTCGAGACATCCCCCAATTTTGCAAAACCAGCGTTTCGCTCGAGACATCCTCAACAAATTATGAAAAACAAGCGTTTCGCTTGAGAAATCCTGTCAAAACCCAACGAAATCAAAATTCCTGCGTGCGGGACGCGGCACGCGCGAGACATCCTCGGAATTCCTGCGCGAGGAGCGCTTTTCCGTGTCGCGGTCGGTCTT